TGCGGTAACCAACGGGGGCGGGACGGCTGCGTCCCCGCGCTGGTGGTATTTTTATCCTGCCTCGGAACAGACGGTCCTGTGATTAATGTTTCACAGCTTACGGAATTCATTTCATGTTCTGCCAGGTCCTGGGACCATCAGCTGCACGTTTCTGCCGCCTGCAGCTCATCGTTAACTGGGACACGGGGACACTGTCCCGTGACTTAGCGCGTTATCACTCGAGAGGGGGCAAACCGTCCCTTCCCTCCTCTGTCTCCCTCAGTTTCTCCCTCTCTCCCCGCTGCTCCTGTCACACTGGCGGGACGCCTCTCTCTCCCTTTTCCTCCTCCTCTCTCCCCCCTCCCTCCATCCTTTTCTCTCTCCTTTCCTCCTTTCTCAGCCCCACTCCTTCTCTCCCTCTTTATTCACCTGGCTCTTTCCTGTCACACCTTTGGCTTTGTTCTGTTTTCCCTGCTGTCACTTTCTTCTCTCCCTCAGTCACCAAATGCCCTCGGGATGGCCGCCCGGGTGTCGAGGAGGGAGACTGTCCTCCGTGGGCCTGGCTGGGGTCTGAAGAGCCACCGCCCACCCCTCCCGGTGCCTCCTGGCCTCGCGCTGCAGCCTAGTCTCGCCTTACTTTCCACTTTTCTCATTTCCTCCGTGTTCCCCGGTCCCTTCTTGCCACCACGTGCCTCCCTGCTGGCCTCCCTCCATCCTCTCCTCAGCCTGGACCTCCCCCTCCCTCCGCCCCTCCCCTTGGCCTCCAAGAGTGTGTGTGTGTGTGACACTGGCGGGACGCCTCTCTCTCCCTTTTCCTCCTCCTCTCTCCCCCCTCCCTCCATCCTTTTCTCTCTCCTTTCCTCCTCTCCCACTCTCTGCCTCTCTTTCCGTCTCTCTCCGTGCCGTCTCTCACACCCGTTCTCTCTCTTACACACATATATACACACACTCACTCATTCTCTTCTCATCTTCTTTTTACCGTATCCCCTCCATCCTTTTCTCTCTTCCTCGGTCTCTCCTCCCCTCCCTCTCGGGTCTCCCTGAATCTCTCCCTCTTTCCCCCCCACCCCGGCTCTCTGGGAACCTCCCCAGGGCTCACACCCCTTCTCTCTCCGCTTGCTTGTCTCCCGGCTCGTCCCCTCCCTCTCGGGTCTCTCTCCTGAGCGGTTCTCTCCCCCCTTCGCCCCATCTCTTCTCTCCTCCAGCCTCCCTGTCTCCCTCTTTTCTTTCTCCCGCTCCTGTGTCTCTGCCCTTGGCTTTCTCTCCTCTCCTGTCTCCCTTCTACTTTCTCTATCTTGCTTCTCCTCTGCCTCTTTCCTTTTTTCCACTTGCTCCCTTCATCCTCCCCGCTCCAGTTCGCCCCTTTTCTCTCTTTCAAAACCACTTGCCTCTTCCTCTCCTGCTTCCCCCCCTCTGGTCTCAATGCCCCTTCCCCCCTCTCCTGCTTCACCCCCCTCTGGTCTCAATGCCCCTCCCCCCTCTCCTGCTTCCCCCCTCTGGTCTCAATGCCCCTCCCCCCTCTTCCCTCCGTTTCCTCTTCTGTCTGCTCATCCTCCCGCTCCTCCCCTCTGTGCTCCTGGCCGCCCCGCCTCTTCTCTCCCCTCTCTCTGTTCGTTTCCTCTTTCTTTCCTTCTTTCTTCCTCCTCCTATCTCTCTCCGACCCTCTCCCTTCCCGTCCCCTCCCCATCCCTCCCCAGCTCTCTTTCCACCTGTTTTCCTTGTTTCTCCCTCTCTGCCCCCTTCTCTCGGGGCCTCCCTGTCTCTGCTCCTCCCACTTCTCTGCCTGTCCTCCCCTCTGAGTGGCCCCCTCTCCCCTCCTCACATCTGTCTCTCCTCTCTCCTCTCCTCGCTGAATCTCTCCTTCCCCTCATCCCTCCTCTTTCTCACTCTACAGTTTCTCTTTCTCTAGCCCCTCGCACCTTCTTTCAGTCTCTCTCCTTTCCTTTGTCTCCTCTCCCAATCTGTCTTCTCATCTCCTCTCTCTCTGTCTCTGGAGGCCCCTGCCCTGCCCTGCCCAGCGCCCCCTCCCCCACGCGTCCTCGCCCTGAGGGCTCCAGGGGCTCCTCTCTCCCTTTCCCTCTCCTGCCCTTGGGGCTCTGAGGTTTCCAAGTTCTGAGCAGATGGCTGAGTCAACCCAGGGAGCCTGGGGGCCGGGCTGTCAGGCCAGAGTCCCCGAGGTGGAAGGGCCTTTGTGACACCCATTTTCTCTCTCTTTCTGTCTGCCCCGGGCTCTGGACACTGCCTGGAGGGATCAAGTCTGCCCCAGGTGCAGGGAGGACGAAACGAGGCCGGGCTCAGAGGCAGGGAGCAAGCTGCCTAAAGACTCACAGCAAGTAAGTGGCAGGGCCAGGACAGGGTGGGCCGCCCTACAGCTGGCTGGGAATCTGCTTCTTCTTGACTCTCCGGCCTGAGCTTGCTGAGAAGGGGGCTGCTGCCTCTGCTCCGTTCCCCTTCCCAACCCTCCACCATGCTCTCTTCCTCAGGCAGCGTGAAGCACAGCAGCCGCTGGGAGGACCTCACACGACCCCACTTCACAGATGAGAAAATAGGCGCCTGGTGTTCCTGAGGACCAGCATCTGCTAAGACACAGACTTCATGGGAACCCCAACCTCCCAAAGGATCGACAGTGCCCCCTCTAGGGTCCTTCTCTCCGCCGAGACGGACCACATGGGTCAGCATGATGCCTGACCTCCCCCAGTACCGCCCGAGAGGCATTCTCAGACTCGGTGTGATCGTCCATCACCACCTACTGGCAAAGGACAAAACTGCAACCAGCTCTAATAAACACTGGGAATGACCCCGACAAAAAAGGACAGTGCCAGGGGGTGGCAGAGGGGCTGCGGGAGAGGAGGGGGAGAATTTGCAAAATTCTGTAGAAATTAAAAACTTGACTCCTAACCAATACATAAACATCACAGTCAGCAAACTTCTTGGTGTGCCAACTTAAATCTCCAGACTTTGTGGGTGTTTTCCAGTCATGCTACGGGCAGGTTCTCTCCTGCACTGCCATGGAAATGCACGTGTCGCTGCTCTGGGAAATGAAGGAGAGTGGGATTTGGTTTACACAATTTGCGAGGGAGCCTATTTCTAGGAACTGGGCCAAACTGAGTTTGTTTCCTCTGCAGTGACCTTGCTGAATGGAAGCTGGGTGCAAGCAAAGGTGAATGGTTCACAGCCCAAGAGGCCCCAGTCACTGGCCCTTGATCCTCACCTGGAGTCTCTCTGATGGGCTAAATAAAGAAACCTCTAGAATTGTTTCCAGAAGCTACCTGCTACAATGCACAATTTGGGGGTGGCAAAGATTCTTTAAAAATACTAAAATTAGGGCTTCCCTGGTGGCGCAGTGGTTCAGAGTCCGCCTGCCGATGCAGGGGACACGGGTCCGTGCCCCGGTCCGGGAAGATCCCACATGCTGCGGAGTGGCTGGGCCCGTGAGCCATGGCCGCTGAGCCTGCGCTCCACAACGGGAGAGGCCACAACAGTGAGAGGCCCGCGTACCGCAAAAAAAAAAAAAAAAAAAGAAAAGAAAAGAAACAGTGACTAAGCTCTCCAGGGATGGGCAAGAATTAGATGAGAAGTTTAATCAGAAGAGAGCCCCAGGGAGCCTGCATGAGCTCGGACACTGACTAGAATATGCCACAGGGTAACCCTGCTGGCTTGAGAGCAGTCAAAAAAAGTCTAAGAAAAAAAGAATGTGGGACTCCTCTCATGGTCCAGTGGCTAAGACTCCACGTTCCCAATGCAGGGGGCCTGGGTTCGATCCCTGGTCAGGGAACTAGATCCCACATGCCACAACTAAGAGCTCGAACGCCTCAACTACGCATCCCGCATGTGCAACTAAGATCCGGCACGGCCAAATAAATAATAAATAAATAAAAATAATGTAATCAGATTGACAAAGACCTCAAACCTCGAGCCACTAAAAAATAACAAAATGGGGACTTCCCTGGTGGTGCAGTGGTTAAGAATCCGCCTGCCAATACAGGGGACACGGGTTCAAGCCCTGGTCTGGGAAGATCCCACATGCCGCGGAGCAACTAAGCCCATGCGCCACAACTACTGAGCCTGCGATCTAGAGCCCGCGAGCCACAACTACTGAGCCCCTGTGCCACAACTACTGAAGCCCGCACGCCTAGAGCCCATGCTCTGCAACAAGAGAGGCCACCACAATGAGAAGCCCGTGCACCGCAATGATGAGTAGCCCCCGCTCGCCGCAACTAGAGAAAGCCTGCGCGCGGCAACAAAGACCCAATGCAGCCAAAAATAAAAATAAGATAAATAAAATAAATTCATTAAAAAAAATACCAAGGCAATGTGAGTCAGCGGGAGGCTTTGGGGCTCTCAGGCCACTTGTCACTGTGCAGAGGGGCGTGGCTGGCCCCCCAGGGGGTGGGCTCTGAGCTCCCACGGGGCTGCAGGGAAGAGGCGCAGCAGGATCAGGGTCCAGGAGCATCAGAGGACGGAGGTGGCACACGGAGGTCTCAGCAGTGTCAGATGAATCACAAGAGGAATTCAAAAACACAAATGCTGCCATGGAGCACAGCACAAGAAGAGTTCTCAGAAAATCCCAATAGTGCTGCCACGCTCCACGGGCACGTGTGCATTTAGGTCACGTGTGCATTTCGTGAGAAAGTCAGTTGGAGGAGAGCGGGCTGAATGAGCGCAACGTCCCTTTCTGGCGGTGCGCGAAGGACGAGGCCACTCTCTGGGCAAGGAAAGAACTGCAGAAGGTACAGCGCACAAGGCAAGTGGCAAGCACGGGACCGTGTACAACCTCGAACGTGGTACTTTTGCTACGAGGAGGGGGAAAGAGCACACGTTCCTGTTTGTTGGTGTCCGCACAGACACTCCGGGAGGGAAAACAAATGGACTAAAATGATCAAGTGATCAGGGAGACAAGGCTCCACTGCACACCTTCCTCGGCTGTTTCCCCCGTTCACAAAACGTCTCTAATCTGCCTTGGTATTCTACTTCGAGTCATGAGTCTGCGGGAAGTCATTCAAACTCACATCACAGGCAGATCAGCGACAGACCCGCGATGTTGCGCTATTTATAACCACATAAAGCAGGAGGCAAGCTGAACGTTGAACGTTTGGGGGACAGTTTAATAAACTGCTATACAGACACCGCGGAGCCTGACGCAGCTGTTACCATGCCAACGGCGGCCACTGTTTGGTGTTTCTGAACAGCACACACAGTGACCGGGGAATTCAGCAGTGCCGGTGCATCCTGACCGCCTCTTAGCCAAGTCAACAGTTGCACTGGGTTGCTGCAAGTTGTAACTTTCCAAAACGTTTACCTATTTCAATATGTTGCCTTGTCAATGTTTTTAAACAGACAAAAGGAGGGGAGATAGATAGCAAGGACCCAGCAAAATCCCAGGGAAGATACCCAGGCCAGGAAAGGGATTCTATTTACATCATCTGGCCTCTGACTCCACTAAATGTTTGTTTTGACTTTCAACATCACTTCTTCAAGCCCAGAAGCCTATGGAGGGCCTGGCATCCTGATGGCAGGAACTTGCAACTCCCACTAACAGCCGTGGGCAGATATAGGCCAAAACAGGGGACAGGGCTGCACGGAGGGATGGAAAAGGGGGCACCCGTGGCCAGCCCACCCCTGCTCTGTGCCAGCTCTGGGCTGCGAGGAGCCCCAGGGTGCCCTCAAGGGCAGACAGACAGGAGGCTGGTGTCCCAATCCAGTGTCAGACAAGTTAGGGGTATCATCTAACCTGGCCAGGCAGGGCGAGAAGACCACGACAAAGGCACAGCGGCTGGAGAGAACTAGGCATGTTCCCAAACTGCAGGCCTCAGGGGGTGGGGTGGGGGGAACCAGAAGTGAGGTCAGAGCTGGACCAGGAGCTTGGGCTCTATCCTGTGGCAAAGGGAAGCCTCTGGGGCTACAGCGGGGCCACAGGGGAGGGCGGGGTGCAGCAGGACCCAGAACCCGCCGTCCTTCCGCCACCAGTGACGCCAAGGCCCAGAGGGAAGGGACTCCTGGGGAGGGGGCGCTCTCCTACCCTCATGCGACGGGGAGACAGGAGGGGCCGGCAAATCCTTCCGTGATGACCAAGGACACGAGCACGCTGGGCAGGAAGGGCGTCCGCTGAGCGAAAGAGGACGGGGCACTCACGGACCCTGGGCCCCTCACCGGCCACCGCCTCCGCCGCCGCCGCCGCCCCCGCCCTGGCCCCCGGCGTCCGGTGCTCCCGACATCATGAGGAACAGGACCACGGGAATGATGTACATCCACTGTAAGCCAGACAGGATGGCAGAAGGACAGACGGACAAACAGGGAGACAGAGAGAAGAGAGGGGAGAATAAGCAGTGTCCGGCCCAGGGTGGGGAAGGCGGGGGCCAGCGTGAGGGGAGGCAGTGAGGGAAGGGGGCCCAGGTCCCCTACTCCACTACAGGTTGGGGAAGGGCTGGCGGGGTGCAGGGACGGGGGAGGCGGGAGGGGGCTCGGTCCTCACTCAGGCCTCGTGCGGTGGCGGTGCAAGCCCGGGGGCAGCAGGACGCAGGGCTGTGAGCAACACGGCCCCCCCCAGGATGAGGTGCCACTGAGGAGGGAGGGGGCGCAGGTCAGGGCCAGTGGCGGCTGTGGCGTCCCGCGGCCATCAGGGAGGGCAGAGCCAGGGGTGGGCAAGCTCTCGGCCTCTCTGGGCCTCAGTTTCCCCGCAGCTCGGCAGTTAGGCTCTCCTGACATCAGGAGCTCCCGGCACACTAACCAAGGCCCCACGGACACGGCGCTCAGCGCAGTCAGGCTCGGCATCCTCCCACCCGGGGCCCCGAGGGCCCAGCCACACTGGCTTCCACTGTCCCCTGCCCTTGCCTGGGGTGGGACCACCTCCTCCAGCCCCAGCGCCCCCAGCGCCCCCAGCGCCCAGGGCCCTGGGCCTCAAGAGCTGCTCTAGCAGCACAGGCTCACCCTCAGCTGCCAGCTCCCAGCCTCCCGGGCACCTCCCGGCACAGCCCCTCCACCCACCCTCCCGGCCTGGCTGGCGGAGCCCACCCGCTCCCTCCTTTCCAAACCTCCCTGTTCCTTCGAGGTCTCTGCCGTGTACCCCCCACGCCCCAGCCTCACAGCCTGCTTCAGGCCTCATCCTCTCCCCCAGACCTTGGTCCCAGCCTCCTCCAAGGTCGGACCCCGCCCCTCCCTTGACCACACCCTCCTCAGTGCGCTCCCTCCCAACAGGCAAGCCTGACACTGCCTGTGCTTTGTGTGCTCCAGCGCGGCACCCGAGGGGCTGTCCCCAGTCCCCCTCACTGCCCAGCTCCGGGCCGGCCACTTGCTGAGACCGGATGCCCCGTGAGCACCGCCATAAGCCGACGCCGGCAGGCCAGGGTGTGGGGCTCCAGTCCTCACCCCTCTGTCCAGGCCTTGGCTCAAGCCAGGGGCCAGGAGGACGCGCATAGACACGCTGGAGGAGCCAAGCAGGCCCTCCACACTGGAGGCCCAGCGGAGGGCCGTGGGCGAGGGGAGCAGGGCAGGGGGGCTCAGGATGGGAGGGGGGAGCCGCTGGGGAAGGGGCTGGGGGCGGGCAGAAACCCACTCACATATTTCGCGAAAAAGGACTTCTGCTCCTGGGGGTTCTTGGCCTTCTGGGCCTGCTCCATCTCCAAGCGCTCGATGAAGGCTGCTGTCTCGGGCCTGTGGGTGGGGGTAGGAGGAGGAGAGGGGATGAGGGGCCGGGAGACCCCGCGGCACCCTGGAAGGGTGGGGGAGGGGCAGGGCCAGAGTGAGAGGCAGCGGAAGGCCGGTCCAGCGGGGACAGGGCTGGCTCTGCCCACCGCCCCGCACCCGTACTCACCCTGGCGCCGGGACCGGCGGCTGCAGCTGCACTGAGGTGTTGAACAGCTCCAGGTCCACGTCCTCCACCTCATGGCCCCGGCAGCCCCCAGGGTATGTCACCACCGACACCCCCACCACGTTGCCGGCCACGTCCACGTGCAGGGTCAGCTGGTCCGAGAGGTGCGACTCTACCAGGGAGCACTGGGGGAGGAGAGGAGGGGGGTAAGAGGAGGGAGGCCAGCAGGGGCTGCTGCCCAGGCCTCGCTGACACCGGCCACCCGCCTCAAGCCTCCTTCCCCACCCCACAGGGCGCCCGAAGCATCTTTCAAAGCCCTCCATGGCCCCCTGCCAACCTCCAGCAGAAGCAATGGCCTCCCCAGGGCCCACCAACTGGATTGTCCCCCTCCAGCCCGGGAGACCCTTGAGGGCAAGGCAAGGTCCTTAAATGCTGGAGCGCCAAAGGGTAGAACCCAGGCTAGAGCGGGCGGGAAAAGCAAGGATGGGGGCTGACCTCATCACCGACTCACCGCGGGGACAAAGGAGGAGACGTAGCCACCGGCTTCTGGGCCGTCAGGGGCCCCAGGCCGCCGTGGAATCCGGACACGGTACAGGCCGTTCAGCGCCGCCACATCCTGCAAGGCAGAGAGGGGAGGGTGGCAGTGAGAGGGACAGTGCCCAGCCCCCACCCGGTCTGGACACCCACTGGGCCCACAACCAGGAAGGCCCTTCCCCAGTCTCGCCCAGCCAGCGTTCCCCACTCCCTGGCCCGGCCAAGCCCAAGACTCCTCCCACTGGGTGCCCCACCCGGGGGGAGACCACCACGAGGAGAGCAGAGGCCAGTCCAGCAACAGAGTAAGTCCCGAGGACACTTCCCGCAGGTCTGGGTCCAGCCCCACACCCGACCTCCCCGGTTATATGAGCGGCTAGTTCTCACTGTGGGCGACTGTGACAGGAATCACGTGGGCACCACGCAGGAAGGCTGGCCAGGGCGGGCCTCAGCCTGATCTCTCCCACAGCGCTGGCACCCATGGGCCCGCAGCCGCCCAGAATAAAGCCTGCGTCCCCAGCTTTCCTTGCAGCTCCAACTGGTCAAAGGGACGGAGTGGAAGTGGATTGTGGCAGCTTTCTCGAGCTTTCCCCCAAAACCGGCTGTTCCCTCTGGCCCTCCTTCTTCCCCTCCTCTACCTTGCTGCCTGGAACCTCCCCGCCGCCCCCGCCAGCCCCACAGCATCCCTAGGGAGGACCCAGGCGGACCTGGAGGAGGCCACAAAGCAGGGCCACAGGAGAGGTAACGTTCTCCTGCTTAACCATGGCTGCCGTGGGAATCCCTTTCTCCTCACAAGCAAATCTTGCACTAAGTGTGAAGCACCTTGGCTGAATCTAGCAGAGCGAGAGGAGCTGACTGTATGAAAACCGTGAGGCAGAGAGTGTGCTGCGCAGAGGAAACAGCTCACGCAGAGGCCCCGAAGTACGCATGTTTGTGCTCTGAGGCACGTGCCCCCAGCCCCAGCAAAGCGGGGGGTCCCGTCCTCACCCGGAGCTGGCCCCGCTCCTCCTCACTGAGCTGCCGCTGCGACAAAGACAAGGTGCCATCTTGCTGGTTCCAGAGCAGCGAGCCCCGCTTCCGGAAGTGGGCACTATCACCTGTGCGGGAGCTGGACGTCAACCCTCACAGTGACCAGGTTGCTTCCCCATCCCGAGCCCCCATTTTCCCACCTAAAAACTGGGGACAGCCCCACGTGTCTCTGAAGCCCTGCCTCTTCCTTGCCAGGTGACCCAGAGTCGCTCACGTGACTTAAGTGGGCCTCAGTTTCCCCAGCTATGGAATACAGGGGCTGCAGAGCTCGGGAGCTCCCAACCACCGGGCTTTCTTGGGCAGATGCCAGGGTCTGACTGGGGAGGTCTGCAGAGGGTCCGAGCTTCAGTGTTTAAAACAGGTGCCCCCAGAGCTTGGGGCCTCAGACTCGGTTATGAGCCCCTGGGCCACACTGACATCTATGCTCTGGGAGTCTGGATGCCTGCCTGAAATGTGGCAGTTTAAGCTGGGCTTTAGAGAAGGTCCCACCTCTACCATTCACTTGTAAAAGAACCTTGTCTGGTATCCCTCTGCGCCTCAGTTTCCTCTTCTGAAAAATGGGGTTATCCCTAACACCTATTTTGGGTGACTATTCTGAGGATGTCTGAGTTAATATAGATGTTTGAGTTAATACATCTAACCACTAGGGAAGGGCATGGGGCAACTGGTCAAAGTCTGCTCTGAGGTTATTACTGCCACACCGACCTTTCTGAAACTGGCATTTGTCTTACAGGTATGGGAGTCTTCAAAGACAGAGCTTCTGTTCGCCGCCGCCCCCCCCACCTCCCCAGTGTAATGCAAACACACTCCCAAGTGCAAAGCTGTAAGTGAATGGATGGCGTGTCTCACGCTGAGTGGCACCCGAGTTCCTGACACAGGGCACTGGGTAAGTGTCCGGGTCAGGACGTTGCTGGACTCACCGATCTCAAATGAGTGCTCCAGCAGCAGCCCCACGGCGCCGCAGCCCTCACCCTCTCGACTTTCCGCCCCCGCCTGCAGGTGATAGAGAGGGCCCCAGGTAAGGACCATCAGAGCCCTCAGTCCGGCAGGACCCGCGGACCCCAGGACAGACAGACCCGCAGGCTGCGGCAGGAGCCTTATTTCCATACCCATATCCAAACACTGACGCTTGCCCACTATTCCACCGGGAACCGCCCATTTCATGAAAATTCATGATCTGGACGGACCAGAGACTACCAGAGCCTGCAAAATAGCGGAACCTAGTTTCCAAGGCAACTATCTCCAGGTCACTTTCACACCTAGCATCATAACTATTCATGAGTTAAAAGGCATCCTTCCCAAGCTAATATCCACGTGACCTCGTTTTCACCTTCACAGCCCCAATAGCCACGATGCCGCCCGAGTTCCACCCCTCTCAAGCACATTCAAGATTCCATGCCTTCCTTTTCTCCAACTCTCCACATCTCTCCTAACTCTCTACGCCCTCAAGCCTGCGCTACCTCGTTCCAGATTTTAATCCGCGAGCTCAAGATCCCGCCCTCCTCATGCATATTCGGGAGGCGGAACTCCTCCGAGAGCCGCCCCCCCCCGCCTCTTTAATTTTAGCCACCCCGACGTCTGATTTGCCAAGATTCCACCCGGGCCACGCCTCCTCAAACATATTCATGACTGACGATCCCTAGCGTCCGAATGTTAAGGAAGTTCTTGCCCCAACCTTCTCTTTCGGTGCAGCCTCGTTTTCACCGCACCCAACGCCCAGGTGCCAAAGTCCCATCCCAAAATGGGATTAGGGGGCTTCCCTGGTGGCGCAGTGGTTGAGAGTCCGCCTGCCGCTGCAGGAGACACGGGGTCGTGCACCGGTCCGGGAGGATCCCACGTGCCGCGGAGCGGCTGGGCCCGTGAGCCACGGCCGCTGGGCCTGCGCGTCCGGAGCCTGTGCTCCGCAGCGGGAGAGGCCACAACGGTGAGAGGCCCGCATACCGCAAAAAACAAAAAATACAAAACCAAGATGGGATTAGCTAAGGCCCAGAAAGGGGATGGCAAAAATCCCATAAGGAGCCCCGCCCCCTTATGCATATTCACGAGCTAAAGCCTTCCTAACTATCCTCTCGCTTTCTCCCAGTTGTGCGGCCTCATGAATGCGCAGAACTGCGGCCTCGCTTTCCCCGGTTCTTTTACCTCGTCTTCCCTCTCGGTCCTGCGCGACTTCGTTCCCACCTTAACCGACCTAAAGGCCCGAGACCCACGATTTCCGTCAACCCCGCCCTATGTGCACAGCGAATAAGCACTCACCCCCCGCACAGCGGCCCCGGACCGGCAACCACTACCCCGCGCCCGGCTGGGGGCTGCTGCCGCCATCAGCAAGAGCAGGAGCAGCCGAGTCGCCCCAGCGCCGGGCGCGGCCATTTCGGACCCGTCCCACCAGCCAAGGGGCTGGAGTGAGCCGGGCGCCGCGGAGCACGCCGGGAGGAACGGCCCGCATCCCGTCGCCCGTGCGCCTGCGCCGGCTCTTTGCGTCTGCGCACTAGCGCCCTCCCGCTACCGGCGCCTGACGTCACGAGGCGGGCGCCGCTCCATCCGGGTCTCCGGGCACCAACCCCTTGGATGACGCCACAATCGCGGACGTCTCCTCCGTGACGCAAACCCGGTCCGTCGCGTTGTGACGTCACAGAGCCCGGGGCCCCGCCCTCCCGTTTTCTACGTGGGCGCCTCCCGCCGCTCCCCCCAAGGGGCGGGGCGTTGCGATGAAAAGGTGGCACGAGCCTAAGCCGGCCCCTAGTGGAGCAAGTGAGGCGGGACCAGGTGGGATGGCAGGTGAGAGGCGGAGCCGGGCCTGGAGGGGTTGGACCAGGTGAGGGAACCAGGTGAGGGATGGAGCCTGCGATATGGAGACCGGTAGCCGGGAACCCTCTACCCTCAGCGCGGGGCTGACCCGAGGACCTTGGCCCAGCCTCCTGGAACAGACCTGCGAACTTTGCCGCCCATGTAGAACGCCCCCCGGTTCCAGCCTGTCCCACGCGCCGGCCGGGACGGCTCCAACGCCATCTCCTGAGCGGCGAGTTCGACCAGCTGCGGGATTTACCCATCTTTGAGAGCAACTTCGTGCAGGTGTGGAGCCCCAGGGCCCTCCGAGCCCAGGCCTGAGCCCCGGCCTCCTGACTTCGGGAACCTCTGTTCGCCCTATTTCTGATCACTCCCCCTAATGTCCACCTCCTGAAATTCCTGCTTCCCTATGAACCCTGGCCTTTGATTCCCTCGGTCCATTTTCCCTGACTTCATACCCATATGACTCTTGACCTTTGACCCCAGGATCTCTGATCCCCATCTTGGTGGTTAACTTACTTGGTTCCTGACCCTTAACCCTACCAAAATTCCTGATCCCTCCCCAATCCCGCCCCCCATCTATCTGGCTTCTACTAACCTCTGACCCCCCGGCCCCAGGTGACCCGGTTAGGAGAAGTTGCCAACAAGGTCACCATGGGGGTGGCAGCCTCTAGTCCAGCCCTGGAACTCCCAGACCTGTTGCTTCTGGCGGGCCCTGCCAAGGAGAACGGACGCCTGCAGCTCTTCGGGTGACTGCCCCCACCCCAGCCTAGACCTCCTTCCTCCCCAGCTCTGGGCATCCTAGGCCCCCTGCAGCACCTCCTTTCACCCTCACGACCTCCAGGGCCAGGAGCCATGGATGGCTGCTAGCCTTCTCTGGGCTACTGTCCACCCAGGAGAACAAGGACAGGGCCATCCACAGGAGCCAGGAATCAGGGATAGATAGACATGAGGGGGACTGTCCTCAGCTACACCCTGGCAGGAATCAGGAGAATGACCATTTATGCAGCACTTACTGCATGCCAGGCGTCCCCTTGACCATGCACATCATCTCTTCTCTGACCTCCTACTGTCATATGGTGGGGCCCCTTAGGCCCATCCATAAAAAAAAACTGAGGCCCAGAGAGGGGAGCCACTTGCCCAGGGTCCCACAGTGGGTCAGGGGTGGCCTGGGATCAGAACCTTGGGCTCCTCAGGATTGCTGACCTCATGATTCTGGAGCTCCTGGGCCACACTCCACACTGCCCCTTCAGGTCTTTGTTTTTTTGATTGAAAAAGTAATGCAAATACACTCCAAGGTACAAAACACACAGAGAACAAAATACACCTTTCTTCCATCCTAGGCTCCTGTCTCCAACTCCAGCTGCAAATACCAAGACATTTACAGGCATAGAGTATATTTCCAGAAACATTCTGCTGGTGGCTTTCACTTTTTGGCTACATCTCACAGATAATGAAAGAAAGGGGGATGGGGGAAGGGAGGGAAGGAAGGAAGGAAGGATGGAGTCACATTGTCACACACACACACACACACACGCACGCACGCACACACACAATCCTTTGTCTGCAATTTTGTTTTGTTTTGCGGTACGCGGGCCTCTCACTGTTGTGGCCTCTCCCGTTGCGGAGCACAGGCTCCAGATGCGCAGGCTCAGTGGCCATGGCTCACGGGCCCAGCCGCTCCGCGGCATGTGGGATCTTCCCGGAACCAGGGCACGAACCCGTGTCCCCTGCATCGGCGGGCGGACTCTCAACCACTGCGCCACCAGGGAAGCCCCTGTCTGCAATTTTGGATGTAACTCATTTGGTGGTAGAATCTGCTTCTGACCTGAACAAACTTGATGCCACTTACAGCCTTTATTTATCCCCCCCGAATAAGTTTAAAACATTTCACAAAGCAGTATTCTGATGCCGGAACCTTGTACTGGGACCTTCTCTACCATCTTCCTTTTCTTTTCAGTGCTAATTGTATCCCACCATATGAGTCACAACCTGCAGCTGGAAGGATGCTAAGGATGGTGCTGAGAGGGGGGTTTTGACCCTCACCATCTCCTTCAGCACTCTCCCCTCCCAACCCCAGAGAAAACATACCATCGACGTAAAATCATTGAGCTTGCTCTGCCAGCTCAGCCTCAAGACACATCCCCCAGCCCCTCACTTCTGACCAGCTTGCAGCCCTTAGTGATTCTGTGCCAGTGCACACAGATCCATTTTTGGACACACACAATTCAACAAACTCCGTCCCCATGGACACCTAGCTTGCATCCAGCCTCTTGCTGTGAGGATGTAATAGGGAATGTCCTTGAACGAATGGCTGCCTTCAGACGGCCTGGTTTCAAATCCTGGCTTCACCTCTTCTTCACTGTCTTTGGCCAAGTTTCCTACCCATCTGGGCCTCGGTTTCCTCATCGGCAACATGAGGATAAGAGGAGAGCCCACCTTCCAGGGCTGTCAGGGGATAAACTAAGTAAATGTCTGTAAAACTCTTGGAACAGCACTTGGCACAGAGTATGCGCTCTGGAAATGTCAGCTGTTATTCTTCCATTTGGGGAACATACTAATAGATCGAGTTGCCTACTGAGGGACTCTGATGTGTCCTGTGCCTTGGGGTGACAACCAGTGTGGCAGGCAGGGGACATCCATGTGCTCAGCTGCGAGGGTGTCTGTAAGACCAGTTTCTAGAGGTAGTCTTGCAGGGCCTGAGGGGAGTCGTATGTGGCTACCCAGTGTTGTTAAGAACATAGGTAAGACTTGGCTTCAAGACCCTGCTGTGTGATCTGGGCCAAGTTACCCATCCTGTCTGGATTGTTTCCTCCACTGCCTTGTTGGACCTTGAATCAGGCTGGGGGCCTGAGCAATTCCTTTATTCAGATACTCCACAAGCATTCACTCAGCACTGACCATGGGTCAGCTCTGGGTACTACGGAAGCAGCACTGAACAAAACTGGACCAAAAATCTCTGCCCTCAAGCTCACCTTCTACTAGGAAAGCAGACAGAATAGATGTCGATTTGTCCAGTGGGTGAGGTCTGTGGAGACAGATGGGGCATGGGAGTGGGCATGGGGAGGTCTGCAAGGGCGAATGTAGTTGTATATAGGCTGGAGGTTGTAAACAGATCTTCTCTAAGAGAGGAAGGGGCCAAGCTATGGGGACGGCTGGAGGATGACAGAGGGAACGGCCTGTGCAAAGGTCCTGAGGTAGGACCAAGCCTGGCAGGTGTTTATGGGACAGTGAGACCAGTATGGCTGGAGCCGAGTAAGCGAGGAGAGTGGGTGGGGGTTGGGGGGCAGAGAGGGAACAAAGGGGGCAGATCCCGCAGGGCCTTGTAGTCAAGGCAAGGACTCTGCTTTTACTCTGAGCCCCGGGAGGGATTTGAGCTAACGCGGGTGTTGATTGGCGCCCTCTGGCGGCCGCGTGGGAACAGACTGGGGGTGAAGGCGGGAAATTACGGTGGCTGGACGGCGGGGGTCGGGGGCGGCTGGTGGAGGGACTTGGAAATCGTCGGACTGTGACTACGGTTTAACGGTGGAGCCATCAGGATTTGGTAGGATTGGCTGAGAATGGGAAAAAGTCGCCTCCCGTGGTTTCTGACTGAGCAAGTGGGAGGATGTTGTTAAGATGGGGAAGACGAAGAGGTGCAGCTTTGGGGTTGGCGGAAGGTCAGGAATTTGGCTGTTGGACATTTTATGTGTCCGATGTCGATCCAACATACAAATGGAAATTTCAAGTAAGCAGCAATCTGAGTTTCGCGTTTAGGAGGGAGGACCAGCGGGACACACGGATGGGCTCTGTGTATGGAAGAAAATTGGGGATGGATAAAATGCAAGAGGCAGAGAAAGTGGAAAAGGATCCTTCCGGGCGGGGAGAGGGGCGCTGGGGTGGGCGCTGCGAAGCCGGGGAGGATAAGACGCTGAGGCCGCCCCTTCCGCCCGCCAGGCTGTTCCCCTTGCAGTTCGTCCAGCTCTTCGTCCACGACGAAAGCCGCTGGCAACTGAAGGTCAAGTTCCGCACCGGCCGCGCCTTCTACCTGCAGTTGCGGGCCCCGCCGGAGACCCGCGACCGCAAGTTCGGCCAGTGGGTGCGGCTGCTCTACCGCCTGCGCTTCCATTCGGCCCAGGGAGCCGTACCCTTCACGCAGGAGTACTCGGCGCTGGAGGACGACAAGGACGAGGATCCGAGGAGGAGGGTGTGAGCGGACGAGGTGAGCGGAGCAGGGCGGGGCTGCAAGGAGCGGGGAGAGGGGCATGGGCGGGGCTGGGGGCGGGACTCCTGGGTCTGAGGGAGGGGATTGGGGGCGGGGACTCCCGGGTCTGAAGTGGGAGGGGCTGGGGGCCTGGATCCTGGGTCTGGGAGGAGGTCCTGGGACCTGGATGCCTGTGTCTGAGAGTGGAGGTGACCAGGAGCCCAGACTCCTAAGTCCTGACAGTGTGTGGCATCTGTACCCAGAGGACAGGAGGCTCTCAAAAGCAGGGCAAGGTCTGCAGGACCTTGGCGCACCAGCAAAAGTGGTGATGGTTTCCTAACTGGGCATCCCCCCACCCCAGCCTCGCTCCCCTTGACCTAGCATGGTGGGATCTGGGGAGGGAGTGCCCAGGCCCTGAAGGAGTGGGGTCAGCCAGACAATTTGCCAGTTCCGTGTAAGGCCTGGGGAGGGGAAATGCCCCAGTCCTTGAAGGTGGGGACACTGGAACGTATGGGGCCTCTTCCTCTTGAGACACCCTGCTCCCCACGCCTTCCCAGGAAGTACAGAGTGCCCACTCACCCACCCCCAAACGCCAGGTGCCTCCGCAGTCAAGGCCTCCGAGACAGAGTCTTGTACCCAGCTTCAAGCCATGGAAGCCAGACTGGACCCACAGACCTCTGAACTCTGGGGACTCTGATTCCTCCCACATTATTTTGAGGTCACTAAAAGACCAGAGATCAAAGTGTACCCTACCTCGGGGCCGGACAGATGAATTATTAAAGTTAATAAAGATCGGCCACTTAAGAACCAACAACCCGGTCACGAGCAGTTTCCCCATCGTCACCGATTCAACATGGCAGAAATAGCTCTTCCAGTATGACTGCCCCAGCACGGTCTTCTGTTCATGGTGTCTGGCTCCTCGGGCCACTACTGAGGCCCAGCGCTCACCACTCCATCATGGCTACCTCACTAGAGTAGCCCTCCCCAGTCTGGCCTTTGGTTCTTCTTTGCCCACTGCATCTGGCCCCTGCAGCCAGCCCACCTCCTCCCCACTCACAGTAGCTTGTCTAACAGGGCTGCCTCCACAGGGTGTCAGGTCCACCCGTGATTTTGTAGTTGCCATGGCAACGCGGTAGCCTCGCTAAAGTAGCTGTTCCAAGATGGCGGCCTCAATGTGGTCTGTTTCATCAGGGCTGCCTCATCGTGGTTGCCATTCCAACCTGGCTGTCCCCATCACCCAGCCCCAGGTGACTAAGCCCTACCGGAGGAGGAAGGCGGAGCTACAGACTCAAGAAGGACAGACATATGGGAGTCCAAGACAAGACTATGATCTTCTCATTGATAACTCGGGAAAGGGAAACGTGTTGGGGGAGGTCTGGGTTAGGACCCAGCAGCCAATTATCTTGGCAGGTGGGAGAGAGCGCTTCACTGCGGCACTGTGGGAGGAAAGCAGAAAAGGGTGGTAAAAATGCTTGTCCCACCACCACCCGCCCCTGCCCCCGGGCCTGTGCCCGCTGGATTCGCCTGACCAGCACGGGGAGCAGGCTTTCCCTCCATCACCTAGCTCGGCACCTGGTCAACCCAACTCCGTACAGCCCTGATTCCTATAGTTTTGAACCCCAAACTGGGACATTCTGATTACAGAGCAGCTGCTGGAGACCAGCCGTCACTGGAATCCTGAAGTAGGGATATTTCTGAATGGATTCAATAGTTGATAAGGGGGACGGCAGAACCCTAGGAATTATCAACAGGTCGGCCTGGCAGATCAGCGCCTCAGAATGACAGGCAGGAGGTGCTTGGAGTCATCCCTCTGGACGCTTTGCTAAGGGTCTGCAGCCCCTTCTGTCTACTGGGCTGTCGTCAGAGCCAGGGAGGGACTCTGGAAGCCCCTATGAACGTCAGTCGCCTCTGAGGGACTTGGTTAGCAGCCTCCCCGCGAGTCGTGGCTGGTGGATGCTTGCTGGACTGAAGCCCAAGGCGGAGGATGCAAGGAAGAGCATTCTGGGTAGAGGGAAAAGCATGTGCAAAGTCCCAGGAGCAGGAGAAGGCACAACCAGTTTGTCCAACCGCCAACTGCTCGGTGTGGCTGGAAAATGGGGGCGCTTGAGGCTGGAAAGGGGCTGGGGGTGGCAGAGGCAGGACCATGACCCCAGGATGAAGGGTTCCGGGGCTGCTGGAGAGCCCTGTGAGCAGGTCAACTGTGGATATGGGCCAGGCACCCTCTAGGGCCCGGAGGCGGAACCGGAGAGAGAGACTGGAGACCCTGAGGCCCGAGAGGAGGCTGGGGCAGAATTCAGGAAGGAGGACAGCTGAGGCTGGGGCTGTGGGGCAGAGAGGTGGGGACAGGAGGGGGACAGGGACAGGCTTTGGAGGGGGCTCATTTTTCGGGGCTCCCACAGCCCCCCGTCCTCTGCCACTACCCATGTTTCTTTCAGTGCTGTGCCACACACCTCCCCAGGCACACTGGAAGCCTTAGCGATCATTTGCTAAGTTCTTCTCGCCCTCATTCACCTCTTATTTGTCCCTCAGCTCCTTTGGAAAACCTCGGACACCTGCCCAGGCCGGGTCAGGCGCTCTCCCTCCCCCACCCCTACAACACCCTGAACTGCCTTCCCTCCCCCCCGTGTCACCCTGAAACATCCTGCTGGGGTCTGAATCGGCTTCCCAGTCATACTCGCAGAGGGCCCGGGTCTGCCTAGGCTCTGGTCTCAGCCCTGCTCAGCACTGGCCTCCCGTTAGCTTGGTAAAGCGAGTGGATGAGGGTCGGCAGGGGTGCACTGGGGGCCGCCCCACGCTCACTTCGGACTTCCAGCTTGCACTCGGCCAGGGCCTCCCCCAGCTCGTTGACGGCCAGACACGAGTAAGTCCCTGAGTCGAAGGAGGACGGGCGGCGGATGTTCAGCGTCAGGACCCCCAGGTAGTTGTTCATCAGGAACCTGGGATCTCCGCTGATTTCCATCTTGTTCTTCATCCAGACCACCTTGGGCTGTTGAGAGTGGAGAGGAAGCCATGTGACAGAGGGTACCCTGGGAGGTAGCAAAGTGGGCCTTGGGAGGCAGATTTGGGTTCTCCTTCTGGCTGTGCCACCTCCTAATTTTGACTGGCTGACCTTGGACGAGTCACTTCTCCTCTCTGACCCTCAGTCTCCTCTTCAGTAAGAGGAAGAGCCCACCCCTTGTGGTGGCCCATAGGGCCCTGCATGATTTGGCCCCATTACTCCTCTGCCCTCACTTCCCACCCCTTCCTTCCATCTGCTCCGCCCACACGGGCTGCCTCACTGTCCCTCAAACAGACCAGACAGGCTCCCACCTCAGGACCTTGGCACTGGCTCTTGCCTCTTCCAATACTGCTCTCCCCTCCTCTTTTCACCTAACCAGTGCCTGCCTATCTTTCAGGTCTCAGTTCCCCTGTCACTTCCCGGGTCCTAGACTGGAACAGGAATGCCCCCACTTTACACTCTCAAACTGCCTGCATTTCCCTAGCACACTCGCCACCCTTTATAATCTTATAGTCATTTGTGTGACTTCGGATGCATGGCGGTCTCCCCCAACATACGGGAACTCCTTGTTCAAATCACCAGCACATAGAAAGCCTCTGAAAACGTGTGTTGAATGAATGAATGAATGATGTAAATAAATGAAGCAAATGAATGAGCTGAATAAATGAATGGATTGGTAGGGAAATGAGCGGAATGAATGAATGGATGGAGTTAGTGAATAAAGCAGTAGGCAGCGGTGATGGCGGAGGTGAAGGAAAGAATCCACGGGATGCCTACAGCAGCTGACGCTAAAAATTGGCAAAATGTGTCAAAAGGGCCAGGCAGTCAATATTTTAGGCTTTTTGGGGCTCTGTGGTCTCTGGGTCATGGACCACACATAAACCATTAACGTGAAAGCAAGATAACAAAACAGAAAAAGAAAAAAACGTTTAAAAAATTATTTATCCCCTTGGGGTCCAGTGGTTTGGACTCGGCGCTTTCACTGCCAGGGCCCGGGTTCAATCCCTGGTCGGGGAACTAAGATCCCACAAGCCACGTGGCACACCCAAAAAAAAAAATATCTTAGAGAAACCGGTGGAGGCGGATTTGGCCCGAGGGCCGTAGTTTGCCAGCCGCTGGTCTAGGTGGGTCCTTGGAGTTCAAGGTTGCAAGTGTCCACATTCCCAGACAGTAGTCTGGAAACCAGACCGGGCAGGAAGATGCCAAGGAGCCCTGCAGGTTTAGACCCGCTCCGCCCCAAAGGTTTCTGTTTTTGAGGGAAGTCAGTGTAGTGAGCTGAGACTTGGGCTCTGGTTAGAGCAGAGAGACAGGAAGTGGGTTAAAAGTGAGCAAATCCCACGAGCAGAGGGAGAACTCAGGGAGGAAGAGCCCGTGTGGCGGGCAGGCAATGGGGCTTCACCTTGATGATGAATTCCCTACAGGGTTACACATTACACACACTACGCGCGCGCGCGCGCGCGCACACACACACACACACACACACACGGCACCTTCGGGTAGCCTCTGACGGCGCAGTTGAGAGCTGCAGCGTAACCAGCCACGACCACCCGGTCAGGTAGAGGCGTCAGGAACTTGGGAGGCGTTCGGAAGTCATGCTCCTTGTACTCAGGCATTTTGAAGGTGACACCTGGGGGAGGGGTGATACACCTGTAAGGGGACTGGTCTTCACTGTCCCCGGACCACTTCTCCTCCAGCACCAGGTGCCATCAACTCTGAGTGCAGGGAGGGAGACTATATCTAAAATAGATAACCAACAAGGACCTACTGTAGAGCACAGGGAACTCTACTCAAGATTCTGTAATAACCTATATGGGAAAAGAATTTGAAAAAGAACGGATATATGTATATGTATAACTGAATTACTTTGCTGTACACCTGAAACTAACACAACATTGTAAATCAACTACACTCCAATTAAAAAAAAAAACCAAAACAGAGAGGGGGGAACTGGGACTGGCCCCCTCGGAACGGTGGCAGTAGCCATACCTGTCTTGAGGATGCAGGCCGTGTTCTTGGAGACGCCAGGCGAGTCGCTGAGCCCACAGATGTTCTCGCTGTAAACTCGGAAATAGTATTCGTTGCCCATGATGAGGTCTGATACGGTGCAGGAGGTTTGCCGGTTGTGTTCGTAGACGTTGAACCACTCCTACGGCATGGGGGACGGGGAGGGGCCGGGAGAGTCAGGGACACGGACCCAAGCGGGCGCCTCGCTCATAAAACCCACCGTTCCCCAGCAGCTCTGTTCACAATGGCCGGAAGGTGGGAACAACCCAGGTGCCCATCAGTGGATGAATGGACAAGCAAAACATGGTCCATTCAAACCAGGGACTGGTAGGGGAATTCCCTGGCGGTCCAGTGGTTAGGACCCCACGCTTCCCCTGCAGGGGGCACAGGTTCAGTCCCTGGTAGGGGAACTAAGATCTGCAAGCCGCACTGCACAGCCAAAAACAAAAATCAAACAAAAAAATAGGGCCTAGGGGCTTCCCTGGTGGCGCAGTGGTTGAGAGTCCGCCTGCCGATGCAGGGGACACGGGTTCGTGCCCCGGTCCGGGGGGATCCCACATGCCACGCAGCGGCTGGGCCCGTGAGCCATGGCCGCTGAGCCTGCGCGTCTGGAGCCTGTGCTCCACAACGGGAGAGGCCACAACAGTGAGAGGCCCGCGTACCGCAAAAAAACAAACACACACAAAACAGGCCTAGTACTCAGCCATGAGAAGGACTGAAGCATGGATACCTGCTACAATGGGGATGAACCTGGAAAACACGGTGCTGAGTGAAACGAGCCAGACACAAAAGGGCCAC